ACACACACACACACACACACACACACACACCTCTGTCCTGGATGCTGAAACATGAATGGATGATTGTGTTTTACCTCCCACCATTCTGTACCTCTCTCCTGCTTCCCTGTTTCCCTGCGTCTGTCTGTGTCGTGTGTTTCAGATTTCCTGCTCTGTGGTTGTGTGCAGCTGCAGCTCCGGTGTGTGTTTGTTTCTCTCTTGACTACCCTGCACGATGTCTCCTCCTCTCCCACCTCAGCATGTGTATGTTCCTTTATCCTTCCATTGCTGCCTTCTCTTCTTTTGTATATTTATTCATGTCTTGTTTTCTCCCTCCCTGCACAGCCTCCCACTCCTCTCTACCCCACCTCCTCTCTCTTTTCCTGCTGCTCCCTCCATCTCTCTCTCTCCTTTCATCTTTGCCACCTTCCTGCCTCCGTCTCACACACTTCCATCTCTCCCCTTCTCCCCCTTCTCTTTCTCTCATACTGCTTTGGAATACTAAACACAAGTTGTCTGATTACTTTTCTTCCTGACAAACGTTGGATACAACTCCGAGGCTCACTGCCACTGCCTTCGCCCGTTTCTATGACTACAGCCTCGGCGCTCAGCTTTGTTGAGGCGAGGTGAAAGAAAGGAGGAGGAGGAGGGAGATCGTTGTGAGTCGTCACAGAGAAAAGCAAGCCACAGAGGAGGGACCTTAAATTTAACACATTTAATTTGATCCCACGCACATCTTGTTACTCTAAATTTAATCATACATTTTCAAAAAAAGTGAAAATGAAAAGTCAATTTTTACAACACAAATTCATTGTGACCATGTTGATATTGAATTTTTGACCTTTTGAAGATTGTGGCATAACAGGCTTTCTACATGCTGTGAAATATGTCTAACACTAACATAACAGCAAATAGAAAAATCTATTAGTCTTTTTCTAAATAAAGAAAAAAGTTGAATAAACCTTTTTCCCTTTTATTTCGTGAAATGTGACACACCAAGAGTTTTATGCATTGTAATGATCAATATCAAGTAGGTTATGTTTTCCCCCTTTTTTGTGTTTGTTATTAAGCAAGATTACACAAAAACTACAAGTTGGATTGTTATGGAATTAGGTGGAATGATGCAGTATGGGTCGGGAATGAATTTAAATGTGATTTCATAAGTGGACAATTACCTATTTGCATTGCAAGTAATGGTTTATGTGAAATTGGACATATGAAAGTAAAGAGAAGCCTGTATGCAGGATATAACTTACTGCTTTTGCTGCAAACTAAAAAATTAAATTGTTCTTGTATAGCCCAAAAATATGGCAGTTATTGCCGTTATACACACATTTAATGCCCTGTTGATCATTGTGGTCTATCTGAGCGTTATTGTTCAAATTATTATTCGCTCCAAACAAAGATTTGTCCTGTCGTTAATAGGCCGCTCCCTTCCTGTGTTTTTTGTTCTCTGTCCTCCTCCTCCTCCGACAGCGTTCTGTCACCATCACTCATGTCAGTTTGTCACAGTGGATCGGAGGAAGGGCAGGAAAAATGGACAGTCTCCATCAATCAATCAGTACGATTTATTAGATTTTACCCTTTTGGACCGGTGACAGATTGCTGTGTAGAAGTAAGAAAACACACACACTCAGCTGTCTCTTGTACCCCTGAGTTATCTTGACTCTCAAAGTGAAACCGCTAAATGGACACACACACACACACACACACACACACACACACAC